GTAACTTCGGTCGGATTATTACAAATAGTTGACTCACGACTAATGATAATTAATAAGCTTCGCGTAAATAACGTTGGTTTGCGAAACGAGGTGAGGAGGGGATAGTAGGATCAAACGTTGTTGTTGAACGTTGCTGTTGCAATTGATCAATTTAATTTAATGTTTATTAAAAAGCTGGTTGCCCGCCTTTCTCCAAAAGCTGCCAGCGAGATTAGAGCGCGATATTAAGGTCGACTGAGAGAAATTGCAAGTGAGAGAGAAAGAGAGAGAGAGAGAGAGAGAGAGAGAGAGGGAGCCGAGCGAACGCTTCATTTGAGTAGCGTAAGTACTTATTAGCCGGTAATTAGTAACTCCGTCGGCGATATAGTTAATTATTACAATTAAGCCGTGCCGGGAGTATCCCAATTCCCCGCGGGAACTTCCTCGCGCGCGTACAAGGCTGTTGCAATATTACTCGGGCCTGGATTTAGCGCGATCTCGCGCCAATTTCGCACAGTGTGACGAACGATGCGCGACTCGACGAATGATTGCGAAAAAAAGAAAAGAATCAGAAGTATGTAGTTAATATCGCGTCACTGTGATGTCAAGGCTATTACGCCGGCCTGTGCGCGTATAATTAATGCTAAATGCGCCGTGACGCGAAATTATTTCATTATTGGGGGATCGGCCGATTACGAACTTCGTCGGGCGTGCTTAGGCGCGCGAATGTAATTTTTCTTCTACCTAGTTAAAAGTTCGCGCGACGCGCGGCGGAAACTTTGAACTTCCTAAGCTACATCTTGTTTAAGTTTAAGGGATCCTGTCGATCAATTAGATCACTCACCGATGATTTATCGGCCGACGCACGATACGGTCGGGGAGACGGAAAGCAAAGGAGAAAGAGGAGGAGGGAGGGAGAGAGAGAGAGAGAGAACAGCTGACCACTTTTCGTACGTAATGCAATTACCACTCACTAATAGAGTGAAGTCGCAAAAAACCCGCGGTAATCACTTTATCACTTCTTTGCTGTAATGTTTCAAGGAGAGAATGTTCCACGAAAAGTCGATAACCCTCCCTTCGCGGATGCTCATCTCGATGTTATTGCGGCTGTGTCGAAATCTTTCAATGTGCCCGTAAAATTCACTTAATTAAGGCGCGTAATTGAGTTTTCTCGCGCATTATACATAATATACCTCACACATGGAGGAGAAAGTGGCGTTAAATGGCACATTTTACATCTTTACACAATAACTTTGTCAACGATCGGTACTTTTAATTGAAAACCGAACGATTACATTCGTCAAAGCGGTCAATCGACACAAAACTCAAAGTTATGAAATATTTATTATTTATTTAAATTTAGCTTGAATTCTTGACTCATCGAATAAACTATCTCGACACCGAAAACTTCGAAAAAGAGGCCGTGTTAAATCGATTTTAATGAGGAGGGGGGAGGGGGGGGAGCATATTAGCAAAAAAGTCATGCTATTCTTCAACTTCGCGCAGCTCGAAACGCACGCGAAGTAAAAAGTGCTGAATTTTTTATATCTCGGGAAATTATGTTTCCACGCTTTTGAACGCACGCGATTTAACTCGCGGGCCGTTAAGTTTCAAGTAAAATCGTCAAGCGCCGCATCCCCGTTTGTTTCGGCAGCGCAACCGTACCGAGGGCTTCCATAATTACACGCGCTCGCGGGCACGCCGGCGCATCGGTGGCGGTAACATTGAATCCACTGACTTTGGCCTGGCAGTGACTGCACTTCTCTCTGAATGCAATCAATGGCCGTAAACGCACGTGTTAAGCGGCCGGTATTGTTGCACCGCCATTGTTCGGGACAGGTTATTGTTACATTATGCCCGCATTATTGGACCTTATTACGACGTTTAAGGCCGCGCATTCACTGCGACTTACGTCGTGCAAACGCATGAATGAATGCGAGGAATGCGCATCGTTGACGGTCCCGCGTTTTGCGAGACAATACGCGCAGCTAATGCCGGGAGAGATCCGGCAGATATTATCGCGCTTCTTATCGCGAACGTGTTCTCTATTCTTTCTTATAAAAACAGCCGATTACTCTCGATATCGTCCTGCGGTGCTTTCTCCCGCAAATATCCTTGGGAGGAAAATGGAATCGCTAAACATTAAGAATACAATATTAAAAGTTATCCTCTCTCTCTCTCTCTCTCTCTCTCGAGCGTATTCCCGGCGTATCTTCTCTTCTTTCCCTTTCCCGAACTCGCCAAACTATTTTTAATTAGAAGATAATGATCTTCATTAAAAGTTTCGGCGTTCCGGGGCAATCGAGATACGGGAGGGCGCGCGGAAAATAAAATGATTTCGACGAATGAGATTATACCGAAAAGAAAGCGAAGCGCCGTCGCCTCGATCCGCGTCGTGCCAACCTCTCGTCGATGATCGATCGATCCGAACGATCCTCGCTCGTTTAATCCGCAGACCGTCCGCCGTACGACGTTAACGCGACTCTCGATGAGAGACGACTTTCGGGACCGAAATTACAAAGCGGGACTAGGTGCGGACCGCCGATCGATTTTCCCCCGGTTCCGCACTTTTTTCCCCTTTTCCGTCCACTTTAAAAAGCTCCGACCCTCCTGCCCGCTCTTCCTTCCTTCCTTCCTTCTCGTTTCCGCTGCGCACCGCCCTCTTCCGTCCGTTGTGCTCGCGCTTATATCCCAGACAACGTACAAGGTGTCTGCGCTTTACGACGAGGACTTTATTAGCATTTTATGGCATGTATCACCGCGCGCGAGACTCGATGTTGGCGCCCCACTTTTTTTATAATATCGAGAATAAGGAGAGGGGGAGAGAGAGAGAGAGAGAGAGGAAGAGCGGGAGGAAGGAAGAGAGAAAAGGAAAGAAGCAAAAAGGACGGCGCTCTCGGCAGGCAGAGGTGCGTCATTTTCCGAAAAATAAGGAACCTCTCATAAGCCGACCGCATGGCGCATAATCCTACTGTAATCTTGAATTTCGGGGGAATTCACTTTCCCCCTCCCCCTCCTTCTCGCCCCTCTATCTCTCTCTATTTCTCTCTCTTGCTCCCCATAGGTCATCATAATATCGTCACCGATGCAATTAACATGAATTTATTACGCGAAACTAATGACTCGCGCTCGGCCGAAACGAATCGCGCGATTATCCTGGCCGCGCGAGATTATTATTTAATTAGCCGCACGCGAGACTCCTCTTTTCAATTAACGCGGCCCGCCGCCGCGATATCCGCTCCTCCGTGAGTATCCATCTATTTTCTCACTTCATTTTCCCCTACCTCCGTCGGTTTCACCAACGATCGCCGTGCCGATCACGCAGGCCGCGCGGGGATGTTTGCCGTTATCGTGTTTCCTTTGACGGACGCATTCCTCGACGCATCGGCGTTTTTCGCACCGTATAATGTGTTACGCGCCGCTCCGATTGTTATATCGGATATCAAACGCCAACATGCGGCGCGTGCAAAGGAGTATCTGATTTGTTCCAGCACCGGCGGATTAACATTCGACGAGAGGACGCGCACAATACGACCGCGTTCGCGCGATAATACCGTGAATTTTCCGAAAGTCTCACCGGCGCGTTTCAGGGTGATCGACAACGCGCGGTGGCGCGCGAATTTTCACAATTCCGGCGATTTCGTTGAAGAGTGTTGCTTTTAACACGAGGAGGCCAGTAATAATCACCCCGCCACAAGTGGCGACCGGTCGAATCGGGAAGCAATCGGAGGGAGGGTTTTTCCAGTTTTTCGCGTCGAACCGTAGCGCGTCGCTCGCTCCGACACGCTACGCTCCTGGCGCGCGCCCTTTCTCATATTTCCGCCGGAAATCTCGGCGAATCGCAATTTATCTCACGAGAATTTCCATCGTACCGTACGGTGCGGTAATTTCGAACGGTCAATCGGCCGATCGCGTTGACAAGTGACTTGTTATCTGCCTTCTAACGCGTTGAGATCGATACAGGGTCACGGTGTCTCTTATGCCGAAGGGAAGAAAATCAGATAAATAGAATCAAGGATGTCGCGTAAATTCTGCCGCGCAAACTACGGTCGGGTGAAATTGAACAAAAATTGTGCTGGAACGACGACCTTCTGACGAGAGGATTTGAATCACGAGATTTGATCAACAGTAAAGAATTCACAAAATTGCAACGTAGTTGAGCGTGTGATTGAGATGCACTTTCAATTGTCGAAAGGTTGACTTTTTTAGCGCGTAACACGAGTAACATGACACATAGACAAGCACACTCTCCGATTGGAACGTTAAACGAATCTGACAGTTAATACGATCGATAATGTGCGTTTGGTCAGCTTTACCACCGCCGCATCGAACTTAATTTTGAATTCGTTCCGCACAAACGAGAGATTAAAAGAACGGCAACATTTTACTGAAAGTATCAAAGCAATTAGTTCGCCGCACTCTGAATTCAAGCTCGTCCCACTAGATTCGAACTATTCGAATTATATTGAAGCAGCAACGCTTTCGTTCAAACAAAGTGATATCTGATATTAAATCACGTCGTTTATACGTTAAACAAACACGCACGCTAAATCCGAAGAAACTCTTTTCTCCGTGCACGTAAATTAAAATCAGAATCGATCTTTCTTTTTCCATCACTCTTTATTTTCTCTCTTTTCTTCACTTTTTTTTTCTCCCGGAAACGCCGAGCTTTAACCGTGCTTCGTCTTACAAGGGAGAAACGAGCCACGGTGCTTTACTCGCTCGACGACGATCCCGCGGTATAGACGAGGCGATTCTACGACTCTGCGGAGGAGGAGAGTCCGCGACTGCAGCATCCATGGTGGCAGTCGCAGAAACGGGACTTAGATTAAAGCGACCTCGTCGTCGGGGATGTAAGATGCGTCGAGCGGTCTCTTATGAAGCGGGACGGAGAATTTCACGGTCCGCGTCTTTCATTTATGCTAACGTGCTCGTGCGCTAAACACGTTTCGAAATAAAATATCCCGCACTGTCACGCGAGGAAGCGGGCAAAATAAAGGGTAGGTACGGGTCGTACTTACAAACAACACCACGTTGTAAATGTGAAGGACGTATTTCAAGAAATTCACGGAGCAGCAGCCGTCGTCCCTGGTCCTAAGTCTGGTGGAAGTGCCGGGCAATCTCTCAGCGTTCTTGGCCATTTTCAGTCGATTGTTCCCTACGTCGTGCGTTTACCCTCGACTGCGTTGTCACCTCGTCGCCGTTACTGCAAAACACAAGTGAAAACGAAGGGAATGTAAGAGAAAGAGAGAGAGAGAGAGAGAGAGAGAGAACACGGAACTCGCGTCGTGGGAGATGGATGAAAAAGTCGCGAAACTTCATCCCCTTCCCCTCCTCGTCTCGACTAACTTATTCATGTTATACAGGGTGTGTCTCGCAACATGCGACCTTAATCTCTTTTCTCTTCGGGGGTTCTCTGAACAATTTAAAGTCCAGCAGAGCAAGAATTCAGAATTTTGTCAGCGAAATTCAGCGAAAATGCCGAGACATCAATAGTTTCCGGTGTATATACGCATATGGAGAAAAAATTGGTATGAAAACCCGGTATGAAAAGTACGGTCGATGAAACATGTTACACGCGCTTGGCGGGATTAAAAATAATCACGGGCCGTTCGTTGGCCGAAAACGAGGAGGTTTTCGCGAATTCTCGGTGGGGAGTTCGAAGGCAGGTAATCGACAAGTTTCCGACAAGTTTTCGACGGTCCGTCGACCGGGAAAGTAATCAACGAGCTTCACTTGCGACGTCGAGCGCTCCTCCATTGTTTGTTTATACTCGTCGCTTGAACATTAGGCGAACTTGAAGCCGTTCTGTCCAGGTTCAACGTGAACTTCGCCGGAATAGCAATATCGTCGAAGTGGACGTAGTTTGTTGTCAACTGCAAGTACACGGATCGAATTCTATTTCTCTCTCTCTCTCTCTCTCTCTCTCTCTCTCTCGGTTTTCGTGAACAATCGTCCGTTTTCCTTCCTGATAATCCCGGAAGAATTCGCATTAATTCCTGCGAAATGAACTTCCGGCAACATGGACAGCCCGTTTAATTGCCCGAATTTTCAGATTGGAATTCGCCCGCGAGAAAACATTGGCGCGTACACTGAGAAAATGATTTTTGACGCCATAATTATTAGCGTGAACGTTTTAAATGAAATCCAGTGCAATATTTTGAATTACCTATATTATGGTATAATATTTAATTAAATGTTAAATATCACAATATTTAATTTAAGAAGTGATATTTAATTAAATATTAAATACCGCGATATCCAATTCAAAACGTTTACATTACCATTACATTTAATTATAATTATAACTGCGCAAGTAAAGTAATTATGGTCGGGAGAAACTATTAGTCTAGTAAATGTTCATTATAGTGCCGGCGATAATAACCTTGTGTGCGTATTGTTGCTATTATTTTTTAGTTTAACCCTGACACTAGCGTGTTAGAAGCAGATAATGTAGTTGAGGCCGAAAATGGCTATAATTTTCTTCAAAGTCCTCGACTTCCCTCTTTCAGTGTAATTACGCACATCTGAGAGAGAGAGAGAGAGAGAGAGAGAGAGAGAGAAGAAACACCAGCGCCGTGCACTTTCGATGCACAGGGAACATCGTTCGGCGGGCTCGCGCTTTTCGCGAAGAACAAGAAGAAGACGACGACGACGACGAGGAGGCGAGTTAACTTTAATATCGTTAGAATGCAGGAGAGCGCAAAGGCGGCGCTCTGCGTCGCAACGACGTCGCTTGTAACGCCGCGGAGGCAACGGGAAATCGACGTAATTCGATAATGGCGTTCCCCGACGGCCGTACGGGACACACGGATGCGTGTGTGCGTCGGACGCGAGGGACAAAGGGCGAAGGATGATCGGCGACGTGGGACGTTGATCGAGCACTGCGGGAGAGAAAGAGAGGGAGGGAGGAAACGAGAGAAACTTGGTGTGCCAACTCCGAGTGAAAGCAACACGCGTTGGCACGAGCCCAACCAAGGGCGTCCGTAGATTTTGCCCCGACGGGGCCCACCGCGCTGTCGCCTGCTACTTTCCGTACGAGCCACTTGCTCGCGTGACCGATGACGCGATGTATCGATCTCGGCGCGAGGCCCCCCCCCCCCCCCCCCCCNNCCCCCCGAAATCACGTCGTTTCCCGAGCACAAGTGTCTCGGGTGCGCAGCTCCCTCGGATTTATCGGGTTTCCTCGGCCGCGAGGATTACACGGGTGAAGGAAGAAAAACCGGGGAAGATCGTTCTGAGTGTTCCGCAGATTTTGTCGCGCCAACTGCGATTGGATCGAATGAAAAATGAGACGGATTAATAGCCGGCGAATCTGAGCTACAAAGGTGATTCAACTGGAAATAGTCCGGTCAAACCGAAACATAGTTTATTTATTTATTTGTGGAACCGATGCCATTTGGTGCGTACAGAAGAGAGGGAACGTAAGATGTAACGTAAGATGAAGTGACGTAAGGTTTGTCTTTTGTCACCGTGATTAATTACAAGTGCTAATCGGATAAAAGCACTTGAGAGCGTGGTTAATGATACTCGCGGAATCAGATCGACGTACCTCGAACATCTGTTAGATAAAATGTAAATTCGATTAGTACAATTAAATTTATGATGTAGATGTTTTGTCGATTATATGAAAAGGTTGGCTCGCTTAGTACGAGTGATTCTACCTCCGTTGGAAGGTTAGACGAATCAAATACGAGCGATAGTGTATTAGGTCAGCTTCATGATCGCCTGACCGAACGAAATTTGGAGCTTCTCTCGCACACACAAGAGATGAAAAGGACACGAAAATGTTGCCGATAGAGTTAGGGCAGTTAGTTCGCCGTGTGCAGCCCTGAAATTGAGTTCAGTTAACTTGATTCGTGTCCTTTCGGCTGACCTTTTCTTAAAATGTGAGTTAAATGTTTTTCCGTCGATGTGAGGAGAACAATATTATATAATATCGTGAAGAGAGAAGCGATCAGTTTAGTTTCCTTCTTTTAAGTAACGGTTATCTTGAACAAAAAATATTTTCAAGAATGAGGAAAGCTCATCGTCATTCGCTCGAAACTCGAAGGCACGTAATGTTCCGCGTTGTCAAGAAACGCGAAGGCCTCTATCCGCTCTAATGCATCGCGTCCTCTCGTCCCTCGCGTCCCTTCCACGTGCGCGATTCCAGCCGGCGTTTGTGCACGCGAGACGCATTTCGCGTGCGCAAGAGTGGACGTCGCCGTATTTCGCATCCCCTCGCAGACCGACGTGAGACAGCAGATCGGTGTATTCCCGCGGCTTTTTACGATTATACCGTGGCGAAAAAGCAGCGGGACAAAAGCAGCGCGACACACGTCGAAACGACGTGACGGAAATATCCGGCTGATGTCGCAAACAGACCGCGGTAATTCGTAGCGCGCCGTGTCACCGTAATCGATGCTGCTTATCGCGCATGCGCGTGCAACTTCAACCCTTTCCCCGCGGAACTTTACCGCGACGTTGACGCGAGCGCTTCACCGCACTTGCACTAATATTGTCGAGAACCCAGTGAGCACGACTTGCGATATTTCCCGATAATTTTATTCATTTTTAATCGTTTCAATTCATAAATATAAATTTCGATCCCTGATTACCGAAATATCTCATTTCATTCCTTTCGTGGAGGCGAGAAATTCAAAATATATATTATATATATTACTTGCGTTTTTGGAGAAAGTTTTGACATAACGTTACTCGTATCATCGCGGGAGGTTTGTCACGCCCTGGCAAACCCTGAATATGTTCCCGCGACGGCGGAGCACGTCGGATTCGCTCTGAAATGTCGCCGGATAGAATACTCACTCGTCTGTTCGGAGTGAAGAATTCAATCGTCGTGAGTAAGATAAGTCACCTGGTTTCGAGCACCGTGACTCGGTGTTGTCACTCTACTTTTCCAGCGGAATTTCGCCCGAACAAATTCAGAGAATAGTTGAAATCGTCGGGGCCGAGTATCGCGCGATCCGCTCCCACCGGGAGTCCCGTTTCTCTCCCACCTGCCCGAAGTGAATCCATTCGTCAACGCGTTCGATTACCCACTACGGTCTGCAATTTTATTCGAACTTGGCACAATCTTCTTGTCACTGCCGGGCGAGCCGGTGCGCGCCGAAACTCTCTTGAGAGCGCCGGGGCTTGGAGCGCGCGAAGGGTTAAGTACGCTTATTAAATGCGCGCCTCTACAGTTTACAGCCGCCGCGCGCGAGTCCCGGCGGGGACCGAACCCTCCTCTTAGAATGTTGCAAAAAACGATGAATAATTCATACCTCAATTATGGCGTCGCGCGCCGTTCCGCGAATTTCGACCCCCGGTGCAAAATTGCAATCCGCCGGGAAGGAAATTACATTTGTTGCGGGCGACTCTCGTTCGTACGCGAGTCGCATAGCGAGCGGGAACGCGGCGGTTTCGTAAACCCACCTTTTCTATATATACATACATACATATATATATATATATATATACACATACACACACATACGTACACGAAGGAGCGCACCGGCGTAAAGAAACGCGAGCGAATCGACGACTTTACTCTGCGCGACACCATCCGTATGCTGTTTCCCTGCAAATTAAGACGCGTCTAATGGCGCGTAACAAAGAGCCTCGAAATGAAATACACGACGGTTACGAGAGTCCCTCCTCCCCCGACCGTGGAGAATAAATGGCGCATAATGAGGAGCAGAAGGATCCTCCCTCCCGCTCACGGATTGCGTCGTGGATCGGAAGGCGCGCTGGTGGTGATGCTGGGGAGCGGAAGACAGAGGTGATTACAGCGCGACGGCCGAAGAAACCCGCAGGAGGCAAGATGAAAGAAGAGAGAAACCGCGAAATTAAATGGGTGTGACCCGTCTTGTCCGCTCCGTGTGGGCGAGGCCGTCCACGAGAACGCGAGCACGTAGAAAACTTTCCCCGGCGTGTGCGTGAATACATTTTTTTCTCGCCGGCGAGCGCAAGGTCGAAGCGCTTTTAAACGCGAGGCGGTTCGATGCACCACCGGTTATCGGCCTCCTCGAGTTTATCGGCTATCCGGTTGAAGTGTTCTCGATCGAACAGCAGTCGACGCCACTCGGTGGCACTTTGACTGGATAATCTACTTATTTCCCTTTCCTTTTCCGCGAATGGTGTTCCTCCATCCTCCTCCTCCTCTTCCCTCTTTCTCTCTCTCTCTCTTTTTCTCTCTGACATCCTTGCGTTCCTCGATTCCGACTCGCGAATTTCTGCAACGGCGGTATCACGTGCGGAAAATTTCTTGGGATCTAATAGAAGTCTAATCGGATCTCCCAAAATAATTATGGATCCTGGTTGGGATATCGACGCAGGTTCTGCTTAAAAATGTAATAATGTTTCAAAGATACGATTCGAAGTGGGAATCACAATCGGATCTTATTTGATCACGCCGATGTTTTCCCTAATGATTGTTTCTCGCTTGCGTTTTACGCTACGAGATTCAATCGAAATGTACGCTTTGAGTATTCACACTTTACAGGTACGCAACACGCGTTCTGTTAAACATAGTAACGTTAAAATTGTAACTCCGTTAATTCGTTTCTTAATCTCTGTTCGGTCAAACTGTCACTCGGCGATCTTTCAAATCTGGCTTCTTCTTTCCGGTGTCTATCATAAAATTGATTTCTTCCTTAACTATAATATACTCACTTATATTTTCAGCTTTTTGTCCAGCTTGTCAGCTTCAATTATCACTTCATTTTTATGCTCTTTTTTTCGCGTTTGACGGGACAGTGTCCCAGAAAAGCACGCGATTCCCCTCTCGCTGACTCGCCGCGGAAATTCGACGCGTCCGATGAATTTTCCGATGCGCGACGTGCGCGCGACGCGAAAACGCGAATTATCGGTATCGATTCGCCGAAACGCGCGTATCACTCCCTCCCCCCTTCCCCCCGTAGTAATCAAGGAAAATGAATTCTGACTGATGCTGTCACAATTTAATCGCTTAAATTAATGAACACCGTTGAATTTCGCATGTAAACGAGGCCGCGGCGTTTATCGCGAATTTCGATTATTCGCCCGGCGCATTTATTTCTTCGGAACTTGGCCGCGCCCGCTCATTATCGTATATTCCCCGCCGTATATCAATCGTTCGTCAGCCGACAACGCTGCTCATTACGTCCTTCGGCGCGCGAAAACGCGCGGGTATCAACCGTCGATATTTACCGGGCGGAGTGCGCGGCGAAATTTCTTTGATCTCTCGGTGCTGACGGGACTAGAAAGAGAGAAGTAAATGCGAGGCCACGGATCTCTCTCTCCATTATCTTTTCACCGGCTGAATTTCTAGCCTAACGAGAACAGCACTGTATTGCCTCTTCCAAGTTGGGAGCATTTTTGCGTCGCAATTCGCACGCAATCTGCAAACGCGCCGCGTGCAAATGTCGCGTAAAACTGAAATTATGTTTACACACGTAACAAGCAAATACTGCGTATGTGGATTCTACTTGTTTATTATGCAAGGGAGATGCGCAAGTAAAATGAAATGTACACGGAATTTTCACAAGTGCCTCGCGTGTCCGGTCCGCACGAGTCGCTACTATCCACGCATCTTCTTGTTTCTTTTAACGTCCGTCAACGACGGATCCGATTTTCTGTCCGGTGCTGAATGTCGGTGGAGTCAACGTAGCGACGTGGTGCGAGCAGCCGGTGCGCCAGGTTTTAGCAGATTTGTTATCCACTTCCGGTTCAGAGGAGCGCATTAATTCGCGCCGCGGAGGGGCTTCCTCCGCGTTGTTCTCGCACGTTCGGCCAAGGGCAAGAGAAAAGGAGAGAGAGAGACAGCAGGGTGGCAAAGTTCCCCGGAAATATCGTCCATTATTCCGACACTCTCGGCGAAAAACACGCGGGCGCGAGTCGCAGGACAACGGAATAAACAATTTCGCGGCTTTCCACATCGGAGGAGCGCGCGAAAAAGACGAGGCGCGGCGGGCGAAAATGCGCCGCGACGAGCGCGCAGAGGGAAAGACCGCCAAGACCGACACACCAGTTGGTTTTCGGCCACTAAAATTCTGTTGAAGGGTGTAGAATTAAATTTACGCGCACGAATGCGAAGCGGAAACATTCCTCCGCTGAAATGCACGTCGCAGTTTTCTGAGAATTACTTCATATTGTCTCGCGAGTAGCTATTTTTTTCAGAAGTTGGAAGAATGAGAGCTCGGAGAATAGACTCGTGATATCTATCAGGAACTTGTCAAAGAAATGAAACGAAGAAAGTTCAAATAGACAAACAAAAATCTATGTCAGTTTTCGTGCTTTTTCGTGCTTTTCCGTCACTACTTTCGGGCGTCGTCACGCTTTCAGCGTCATAGCAGCGAAGCTATTTTCCTCTCTATCTCTCTCCTTTTTTTTTTACAAGCACGCTAATTAATTAATTTCATTCTCGTCAGTGGAAGTGTACAAGGCGGTTTAAATCGGGCGAATCGATTGAATCGATAAGCCGTTGATTTGATCATGGAAAATATTAGCCGACAAGAGCGCTTAATAATAATATACGTACGCTGCGAAGAGAAAAACTGAAAAAGGAAGAACGAAAAAAAAAGGAGAGAGAGAGAGAGAGAGAGAGAGAGAGAAAGAGGAAGCCTGGGAAATAAAATTTGTTTTTTGACAGAATGGAAATTTCATGGAAATCGCGCGAGAAAATCGACGTATACGCGGTATGTAGATTTAAAATCTCATGAATGTATTTGAATGTAATAATGCCGGGCTAATGGAAATATTCTCGATTCTTTGATTATGCGTCCAAAGCGCGCGCGCGCGCGCGCACGTTATCGCGGAATGGCGATATTTTAAAGAAGCACGTACGGGGTGTAACGTTATTTATTGGATTAGAAAGGCAAACTGATTTGCACACACCGAGTGCGCGTTTCGTGCGGGAGAATATTGTTGTGTTAAGTAACGCGCGCGATAACGTTCGGCGGACACGTTCGGCTCGGAACGTTCCGCCGTGAGTGTCAATATTTCGGCCGCGTGAAATTCACCAGTGACCGTCGACGAGTTGTGTAAAATAACGTATAATAATAATAATGCGTCACGCGCGCAAAAATTCGCGCGAGTACGGCGGGACCGCGCAAGTCTGCCGTCGCGTTTCGCGACGAAATCGTTCCCGTTGCATCCTTTTTTTCGGCAAATCATAATGCAACGTCGACGGGGGGAGGGGGAAGGGGGCACATTGTCTGGCTGAATATAAATAATAGACGACGTGTCGCTCGATAGCCCCGCCATCCGCACGTCGGGTCGGTCGGACAAAGGGGAAAGGCGAAAAAAAAAGGGAAGAAAGAAAAAACCGAGTCGAAACATTCGCCGCCGCTTTCCACGAATATTTTACAGCTTTACGGTTGTGCAGTCGTAGGAAAGAGCGGAAGGAGAGGAAAAGGTGGAGGGAAAGGGTTTTACGGAAGGATAAAATTTCACCAGTTGCGGGTCGGGGAGAAAGAAGAGATGAAAGAAAAAACGGTGGCAGAAGAAAAGCGGGTGGGATGGGGGATTTCCTTCGGACGAAGCGTTTCCGAGATGAACGGTCGCCGTCCTTGTTGATGGTTCGAGAAATGAATGGTCTCCGCCGGGCGAACACGGGCTGTGAATAAAAAGTCGCACAGCTGCGTGGTTACTCACGGCGGTCGCGGCGAGTAAAGTCACGACCGCGGGTGGCATAGTTAAATTTTTTATGAACGCGAGCACGCGCGCGCACCGCCCGCGCGGTTCGGAAATTTATGGCCGGGCCGGGCGTGTAATTTGAAAAAGAGCGGGAATCGCGCAACCCGGTCGCAATCTGGAGGACTCGTCTGCGAATCGGCGATTCGGCCTCGATTGACTTTCAACGAGCCAATTAAGCGTTCCCCCTCCCTCTCTCCTCTTTTTTTACTATAATATTACAGCTACGATGTTCTTGAGAAAAAGTGTCTTAGAGAATGACGATAAGATCTATCTGTGTTTATCTGACACGGACAAAAGTAATAACTCACTAATTAGATTGTTTCACTGGGACTTCGATTACTGACGCTTTCACTTCGATACAAGTTAAGGGAAGCGCTACGAAATACGTTCCGGCGGCGAAGCTGTGATTTCCCAGCAGCGTGTCCGTCCGTCCGTCCATCACCGGCGCGGATCCTCTCGGTGCTTAAACGCGCGCGCGCCATTTCATCGGAACGGATATCGCGGTGGATTTCGTAACGCGGCTCGGTCATTACGGCGGGTAGATTTAATTCCTCTGCGGACACGCGCGGGATTTATCAATATTAATAAGCCAATCGCGCCGGATTAATTCGAGCGAGCGAATGGTAGTTCGGCAGCACGCGTGGGAGAGCGCGTGCTCGTCCGAGCGAAATCGGGTTATGGCGTGTCCCGCGGAGGGCGAATATCAGCGAGCTGCCGTCGTCGCCGAGCAAAAAGCCGCGTAATGCGCGCGATGCACTTTTCGCGGCCGGATAAAAAGCGGCCGATGGTAATATCCTCCGAGGGGAAAGTCCTCCTCATCCTCGTCGTCAGCGCGGGACGCGCTCGCTCGTCGCTTGCGCAATGACGTTTCTTACGACTTAGCCCACGTGTTAGGAGGAAGTCGCGAGCGAGAAGCCGCCTACTTGAAAATGCGACCCACGTCCTCCCGGATGACGCATCGATATGCGCCTTCGATGCTTTTATAGAGCCCGGTGGGCCAGAAAAAGCCACCGCGAGGGCCCCTCGACGGAGCGCTTCATCTTCCAGATGCGGGCTATATCGATCGGCCGATTCCTCTTCGTTCGACCGAACGCAGCAGCGAACGAATCACCGTGACCGCTCTCGTTTACAACACCCTCGATTATCGAATCATCGTCGGCCCTCTTCGGCTCCCGTGAGACGATCCGTGTCGGCATCGAGCGTATGTTTACCAATCGCGTCGCGCTGCTCGAGAAATCGAACGGATGCATGCCGCATCGTTCTTTGGATCGACACTTTTTTTTACTATCACACGATATCTTTTTACACGTTTCAGCCTCGCACACACGCGCACTCAAAGTTGAAACTATCGTAATTAGAACTCGTAGTTTTATTAGAAATCGTAATTTCACTGTTATAACTGGAGATACTTCTGAGATTCCCCTTTGAACTTGGCGCGTTCCAACTTTACGCGCCACGTGTGACTCCACCGTCGCGAAAAATATATTCACTCCGATCGATCGAAACTTTGGCTGAGAGGATCCACTCGAGTGAAATATTCACTCTTACCGTTCCGAGCGCCGGGTATTTTCACCGTCGAGCTTCGAGTGAAGATACCGCCGGTATACTTTTTATTCGCCTCGAAATCAGATTTCACTCTCGACGAATTTGGAGAGCATCGGAATTTTCCGCTTCTCGCTTACTTCGTCACGTTGAAGCCGGCGACGCACAAACCAGCGCGTCATTTTAACACTCACACACGTGGAATAATCGATTCAACGCGAAAAACATTGAGACAACACGAGCGCGACATGTCAAGTTAACGGTAGTGTGAAAAATTTTACGCGAAAACCAGATACTCTTCGCCGTGTACGATTATCCCCCCCGTGACAAGTTTTCCGCATTTTCGTCCTCGCGAGCCGAGGAGGGAAATGAACTCGTGAAAGCGCCGTCGCGAAAATCGCGGCTCATAATACATCAAGCGACGACAGGAGCGTTGTCGTTCGTCGAGCCCTTCCCATCAATTTGCCGCAGTGCCATGTTCCCAGCATAGACATATCCTCATTTATCCCAATGTCCTATACGTCGACGGTCAATTTGCTAATCGAGCCAATCATCCAATCGCATTAACCTTGCCGGCCATTCAGAGACCCCGGTCTCTCGTTTTTATTGGACGGTTCCTGCGACAGATTTTAAATTTGCGCTCGATGAAAATGACCGCCGCGCGCAATCCGGCCGAGCGAGATCGTTTTCGCCCGACGACGATCGTTTAATTACACACCGCCCGGACGGCGTTCTCCCATATATCACGGCTATCATTTGCAAGCGTTACGTCACGCCGGCGGTGTGTGTCTGTGTGTCTCGACGTGCCGTATGTACGTCCCTCTCATTCGTCTTGGTATTGCGCTACGATGGTGTACCCTTGGAGAGCCCCCATCTTGCCGTGCCGACGATCATTTAGACAATAACAAGCGTCAGCGTGCGCGCATTCCGCGAGCCCGGAGCTGCTGCGGTGATGCACAACGCGGCTGCATCCACTAGTCACGCGTCCAACCAACCACGACAGATGGAGAGAGAGAGAGAGAAGGACGATAAACGCACACGTGGAGCGCGCGTTGGGCTGCGAAAATGCGCCGGTAAAATCCAAGATTCGCGCACGTTCGTGCGAGGCAAGGATATATCTCGATCGGGAATAAATTAAACCGGGATGTACACATCGGCCCGTTTTGCCGTGAGAATTCGCTCTGTGAACTCGACCGCGAGATCAATTATGCGGCCGGTCGAAAACGCGCCGAATAATTCACCGGCGATATTCCCGGCGGAGCACGACGGCCCGATGTTTAAAAACGGACGGGCGTTTCGAGCGTCAATTAAGCGGCGCACGGCATCGGAAAGACATCGATTTTGTTCCGCGGTGTGGTGAAAAACCCCTCCCCTTCGGGGGATTTTTACTTGGCCCGCGTGAAACGGTTGCACTTCGATAATCCTTGGCGAATATTCACCGGAAGTAGAAATTTAGTTGATTATGTACGATAGATTCCCTTCGGGTAAGTGGATATTTATTTTAATGTGTTGAAAAAAATGCGGGTATTAAATTGTAGTAATGTTGAGAATATCAGAATTGATTCTTTGGAAAATATTTACCGGAAGTATCTAAATCTGTATAAAAAGCCACTAGGTTTCTTCGATAGAAAAAAGGAATTGTTATACACAATTCTAGTAAATATTCGCTTAAATTTACAACTATTTTATTACTTATGTACTTGCATTCGGTAATTTATTTGCAGATTATTATTGCGTTCGAAATAATATTTACGAACTATTAAAATATATACTTGATACAAATATTACTTGATTATAGCTCTTTCTATGTAGAAATAAATAAAAATGTAAAATTAATTTATTTAACATAAATAACTCATTTCTTCAAAAGAATTCACTTCTTAATTATTCTTAATATTCACTTCATTCTCCATTGTGTTTCATCTCGCTCAATTCGAATCACCAGCTTTTCTTCAACGTTTCATATCGGAACCTTATCGATCTGATTACCGCCCTTTCGTTCGGCACAAAGGAACAGAAAAAAATAACCAAGGTATAATTATAATTTAAAGAGGTACGATTGTTCTCATTGGACAATGGCAGCTTTTATTTCCCACTGTTGTCAATACCATTCTATATTGATTGCGAGCGAGTCGGAAATAGAATTTGCGATTTCATCGGTCTTGCAACCGTCCTAATAAAGAAAGATGATTCAAAAGAGAAATCATCGTTTATTCCGACTAATCGATAAACATCGTCTATCTCACAACGAAATATTCATTTTGATAACTACTTCCTGGAAAGTGCTCGAACGAAAGTACCAAGACGCCTCGAAAGACGCCTCACT